CTGCATGGTTTTTGTATGCTTATAGCCTTGAAGAAGTGGGATAACCACCGAAACGTCTTGGCTTTTCCTTGGTGATATTAAATACCATTCTGGACTTTTTACACACCCTTTTGGGCTTTTACACACCCTTTTGGGCTTTTACACACCCTTTTGGGCTTTTACATGTCTAGTGGCGCTTCTTTTTCATTAATCTTTATGTATTTTCCACGAAGGACCACCTAACAGAAGTAGTGGGATAACCACCGAAATGTCTTGGTTTTCCTTGGTGATTTTAAATTACACACCCCTCTGGGCTTTTACACACCCTTCTGGGCTTTTACATGTCTAGTGGCGCTTCTTTTTCATTAATCTTTATGTATTTGCCACGAAGGACCACCTAACAGAAGTAGTTGGATAACCACCAGAACGTCTTGGCTTTTCCTTGGTGATATTAAATTAAATACCATTCTGGACTTTTACACACCCTTTTGGACTTTTACACACCCTTCTGGGCTTTTACATGTCTAGTGGCGCTTCTTTTTTCATTAATCTTTATGTATTTGCCACGAAGGACCACCTAACAGAAGTAGTGGGATAACCACCGAAATGTCTTGGCTTTTCCTTGGTGATATTAAATTAAATACCATTCTGGACTTTTACACACCCTTTTGGACTTTTACACACCCTTCTGGACTTTTACACACCCTTCTGGGCTTTTACATGTCTAGTGGCACTTCTTTTTCATTAATCTTTATTTATTTGCCACGAAGGACCACCTAAAGAAGTAGTCCCAGGACAAACAAGAGCTGCTAGCGGACTCAAATACATCTTTGGAGACAAGCCCAAGAATTGTTCAGTAATAAAAGGAAATTCTACAGACACAAGAAATACCTTTTCTAATATTCACCTGACCCGGTCAATATCACCTGTCAGCAAGTTTTCTCCAACCAATTCCAAGGGACTGCCATGCTGCTCTCACCCCCTAAGCCAACCAATCCCAAGGGACTGCCATGATTCCCCCACCCCCTAAGCCAACCAATTCCAAGGGACTGCCATGATTCCCCCACCCCCTAAGCCAACCAATCCCAAGGGACTGCCATGATTCCCCCACCCCCTAAGTCAACCAATTCCCAAGGGACTGCCATGATTCCCCCACCCCCTAAGCCAACCAATCCCAAGGGACTGCCATGATTTCCCCCCCACCCCCTAAGCCAACCAATCCCAAGGGAAGCCATGATTCCCCCACCCCCTAAGCCATGGGTGTCAAACTGACGGCCCTCCAGCTGTTGCCAAAACTACAAGTCCCATGAGGCATTGCAAGATTGACAGTTACAAGCATGATTCTCAAAGGCAGAGGCATGATGGGACTTGTAGTTTCGGCACAGCTGGAGGGCCGCCAGTTTGACACCGCTGCCCTAAGCCAACCAATCCCTAAGGACGACCTTCTACTGTTTTTCGGTAGTGTATGAAGGGAGCTGATCCCCAAGGACTGCAATGCACGGTTCTGATCTTAGACATTACAAAATGGACGGGACGGATACCTGGATCTCGGGGTGCGCAGGCTGTTCTGTGATGGTCAAATTTTCCAGTTTGCATGGAGTCCAGAAGTCATCCAGTTCTGCGAATGGGCGATCCGTGAACCCTGGACCAGAAGGGGTCGAACCCTAATAGACAACACATGCATATTACATGCGGCACAACACGGTACATGCAACAGACAGGGCACAGATACAGACAGACAGTCAATGGAAAAACAGAAAGGAGAGAAAAACAGCCATTACTGGGTACCCAATAACTAAACAAAAAAAAAAAAAAACTTTGGGACTGCAGTGCTGCCCCCTACTGCAACAATGTCACACAGTCCCATTATCCCTCCTAACTCTGTGATACGTGTCGTTATAGATATCTTCCAGTCTGTGCTACCGATAAAACATTACTAAGCAGATTCTGCTTTGTTCTCACAATCACATATCTATCATATAGAAAAGAACTTCATGATTCCAAAAATGCTGCACTATACACAGATAACGAGTACAGACAACAATATCCCCTCCCCCACATTTCCAAGGTTCCTCCAAAAAGCCTGCGCCGTAACTGGCTTCTGACTAAAATTGCCTTCAAACATGTGCTAATGTGCCATTAGAGTGCAAGCTCCTCTGGTGCAGAGACTGATGTGAATGTTCTCTCTGTACAGCACTCTGCTATATGTCAGAGCTATACGAATGTATAATAATAGTGTGTGACAGCGGTGGAGACATTAGAGTGTAAGCTCCTCTGGTACAGAGACTGAAGTGACTGTGGGGGAGGGGACATTAGAGTGTAAGCTCCTCTGGTACAGAGACTGAAGTGACTGTAGGGGAGGGGGCATTAGAGTGTAAGCTCTCCTGGTACACAGACTGATGTGACTGTACCAGGAGAGCTTACACTCTAATGTCCCCTCCCCCAGTGTCACATCAGTCTCTGTACCAGGAGAGCTTACACTCTAATGTCCCCCTCCCCCACAGAGACTGATGTGACTGTGGGGGAGGGGACATTGGAGTGTAAGCTCCTCTGGTGCAGAGACTGATGTGACTGTGGGGGAGGGGGGGACATTAGAGTGTAAGCTTCTCTGGTACAGAGACTGATGGGACTGGCTCAGTGATCTGTGTACAGCACTGCAGTATATGTCAGAGCTATATACATAATAATAATAGTGTGTGACTGTGGGGGAGGGGACATTAGAGTGTAAGCTCTTCTGGTACAGAGACTGACGAGACTGGTTCAATGTTCTCTCTGTACAGCGCTGCGGTATATGTTGGAGCTATATAAATGTATAATAAAAGTGTGTGACTGTGGGGGAGGGGAAATTAGAGTGTAAGCTCTTCTGGTACAGAGACTGATGTGACTGGCTCAGTGTTCTCTGTACAGCGCTGCGGTATATGTCATAGCTATATAAATGTATAATAATAATATGTGACTGCGGTGGAGACAAAGTGTAAGCTCCTCTAGCACAAAGACTGATGTGCCTGTGGGGGAGGGGACATTAGAGTGTAAGCTCCTCTAGCACAAAGACTGATGTGCCTGTGGGGGAGGGGACATTAGAGTGTAAGCTCCTCTAGCACAAAGACTGATGTGCCTGTGGGGGAGGGGACATTAGAGTGTAAGCTCCTCTAGCACAAAGACTGATGTGCCTGTGGGGGAGGGGACATTAGAGTGTAAGCTCCTCTAGCACAAAGACTGATGTGCCTGTGGGGGAGGGGACATTAGAGTGTAAGCTCCTCTAGCACAAAGACTGATGTGACTGGCTCAATGTTCTCTCTGTACAGCACTGCGGTATATGTTGGAAGTCGGAGTTATACGAATGTATAATAATAGTGTATGACTGTGGAGGGGACATTAGAGTGTAAGCTCCTCTGGTACAGAGACTGATGTGACTGGCTCAATGTTCTCTGTACAGCGCTGCGGTATATGCTAGCGCTATATAAATGTATAATAATAGTATGTGACTGTGGGGGAGGGGACATTAGAGTGTAAGCTCCTCTGGTACAGAGACTGATGTGACTGTGGGGGAGGGGACATTAGAGTGTAAGCTCCTCTGGTACAGAGACTGATGTGACTGGCTCAATGTTCTCTCTGTACAGCACTGCGGTATATGCTGAGAGGTCGGAGTATATACGAATGTATATTAATAGTGTATAACTGAGGGGGGGGGGGGGGGGGGGGGGGGGGCAATAGAGTGTAAGCTCCTCTGGTACAGAGTGACTGACTGATGTGACTGTGGGGGAGGGGACATTAGAGTGTAAGCTCTTCTGGTACAGAGACTGATGTGACTGTGGGGGAGGGGACATTAGAGTGATTATGTACTGGCTCTTCTTCTGGTACAGAGACTGATCTGACTGTGGGGGAGGGGGACATTAGAGTGTAAGCTCTTCTGGTACAGAGACTGATGTGACTGTGGGGGAGGGGACATTGGAGTGTAAGCTCCTCTGGTACAGAGACTGATGTGACTGGCGCAGTGTTCTCTGTACAGCACTGCGGTATATGTCAGAGCTATACGAATGTATTTTTGATTTAGAAACAAAGTAACGCACATCACTGAACACTGCACACTGGGGGTTCCCATACTCTTATTCGGTGTATATTGCGGCACATTAAAAAAAAGTCCTGAAAATCCTGAGCACAAGGCCAATCTAAAAACTGATACATCCCTGCAATGAAGATTAAAAGAACTTAGAAATGGTGATTGATGAAAAATTAATAAGATGATGGAGGACAACTTGATTGGCTGAAAGAGGAAAGACAGGTGTGGCAGGTCATTGGTTGCAGGTCAGGAATAAAGACTTACAGTTGTGTGCTTTGTGGCCTCTTGGGGGAAGACATGAATGAAGGACACATGGAAGGGTTGAATAGAAGGGTCAACGTGGAACACTCAGGGTAAAAAAAAAAGTCTTTGCGTCTGAAGATTCAGCAGGTAGATGTCTTCAGAACAGGTTGCTCAAGGAGGAGGCTGATGTTTTTTTTTGCTGGGTTATGAGAGGAGATGTGAAGAGCAGAAGAGCAGGAGGTAGGTCGCCATGGATGAAAACAGGCAGCAATGCGAGATGAAAGGCTTCCGAATCTGTAAGCTTCAACCATTGGGGTGCCAGATGGCTAAACATGTTCATAACAAAAGGTGCTGGAGTGAAGTTGGAGTTCATTCTCGGCTGCTGGCGGTGGGTTTTTCTGCTCTGCATAGATCTCTCTAACTAGTACGTGAGTAGAGTTCCCCTTGTTGGACAATAGTGTTCTCGTAGTCATCTCTCAATATACAAATAACATCGCAAGAACATGTATATATTATTATGTTACCTGGGTAAAGTGTTTTCTTTTTCTGGCTTTTTGGTTAAAATTTTAGGCACTGCTTGAAGTAAAATTTAGAAATACGTTGAAAGTTTTTTTTATATATATATTTATAAAATAAAAAGTCCATTAAAGCTTCACCACATGCAGAGCAGGAAAAGGGTGTTCAAGTTCATGGATTAAGGGTGGGGGTATTGCAGTTTCTATACAAGGCTGGGCAAAAGAGCTGGCAAAGTGTTGAACCCCATGTTTGACTCTTGGCTGCAAGTTCTACTTAAATTTAACAGTGCATTTGCCAATTCAGATGCGTCGATCGGGCTGCCCTGCGGCCCACTGGTATATCTTCGGCCATAGTTGGATGAAGAGTATGAGGAAGACGAGAAGGTCATGGAGAAGCTGGAATTTCCAGTGGCATCGAAGCTACCTCTTCGTGAACCTGGTCTAGAACCAGTCCGAGAACCTGATCGTGACCCTGATGCTGACCCAGAGCCGCTAACATTGTAGGGGCTGTAGTAACCTTTGCTGGATTGTGAAGATGCTTCAAGGAGTCTCAGACCGGTGCCATCCTCCACCATGCTCTTATCCATGGCTTCTTTGTAGGAAATCTTGAGTTTGGTTTTTGGGCAGGTCAGGTACTTAGAATAGGTGTTGATATCCCTCAGTTTTTGGGCTGTGCGGGAATCTATAGTACCTTTACGGAGAGCCTCCTCGAGGTTAACACGGCCTTCAACTTCAGGTTCAATCAGGCCACCAGTGAGATACTGAACTTCAAGGAATCGTTGACCAGCTTCGTAGTATAGCCAGCCTTTTTTCAAAGCTTGGGCTGCTGACATTTTTGTCTTTGTCCTTGGATCTTCAAATCCATTGAATGCTTTCTGTGCAAGATTAATTCTGTCAACCATGATTTTGTCCACTAAGCCCTTGTTTACTGCATCTGCAACTGAGAACTTTTCTCCTGTAATTGGGTCAATGATGCCTCCTGTACATGCCTGAGCTTCCAGAAGTCTCTGGCCCGTTATATTGTCTACAAGGTTGCGATGCATGGCTTCAGTGATTGATACTTTTTCTAGAGTGTCTGTGTCTACTATGCCAGCAATGGGCCCAGTTTCTTCAGAGGGGTCGCTCCAGGATGATAACTGACCTCTTCCAGCTGGACTTGCCGTGTAAGAGGAGGAGGAGCCAACGGAGGAGGATCTTGATCTGAATCCACCCACGTTACCTGAGAGCATGTCAGCGAACTCTGTAATTGATAAGGTTCCTGAGCGATACTGGTCCAGGGAAGACTGGTCAATAAGACCTTTGGCAATGGCATCATCAATATCATACTGTCTTCCAGATCTTCTGTCAGTAATCATGGATTTTACTACGCCATCCGATGAGGAGATTGTGACCTCTTCCCATTCACACTCTTGCTCAGACAGTTCGATATAGGTCTGGTGGTCAATAAGACCTTTGCGATAAGCTTCATACACAGACATTTCCTTGCCAGTTTCTGGATCAACAATAACAACTCTGCGCTTGCGAACTGATGACTTGGAGGAAGTTTTCCTTTCGCGTTTCTTTTCTTTAAGTGGCAAGAGAACAAGGCCGGTGTCAGAATCAGTAATGCATCTCTCCATGAGTTGAAGATATGTCAGATTTTCTTCTGTGTTGGGGTCAAAGAACCCTTTAGTGTCATCACTTGGATCTAATAGAATCTCATTCATCTCTTCATCAAACAGACCTCTCTTGTAGGCAATCTCTACTGGCAAGCGATGGCTTTCCTCTGGATCGATAATACCACCTGTGGCAATCTGAGCTTCCAGCAAGCGAATACCATGATCTTTTAAGATCAGACCTTTCTTCATGGCTTGGAAAAGTGAAATAAGCTTCCCAGAATAGGGGTCCCTATAACCAGTTACAGCTCGCTCAGCTGACAATAGTTTGTCTTTAAATTCGGGCCCCACGATACCCATTCTCACAGCATCTTCAACTGCCAGCTTGAGACATTTGATTGGATCGATCACATAACCTGTGGCTGCTTGGGCTTCCAGAAGCTCAAATGCTGTGCCTGGCCTGATCATTCCTTTTTTCATAGCTTGGTAGATGGAAAATCTTTCTTTTGAAGCTTCTACATAGACACCAGCAATGCAACTTGTTCCCTCCAAGAACTTCTGTAGGTTTCTTGAAACTTCCTCAATAGAGGTTAGTCCATCTTGTAGGCGCTGTGCTGTAATTGCATCCATAACATTTGATCTTATGAGTTCTTCCATGCTAATCTCTTTCCTCAAACCCTTGAAAGTAAGCTTTCTCCTGTCTGCAAGAGGCAGCAGGTAGAGGTTGCTGTTTTCAGATCTTTTGCATCTTTTTAGGAGTTGAGCATAGCTGAGTTTCTCATCAGTGGAAGGGTCCACATAACTACGGACCTCACTTGGCTCTGACAGCATTTCTAAGGTTTCTTTGTTGAGATATGCACGTACATATGCAGTTTCATTTGGGATGTGGAAGCCAAATCGTGGATCAATGATACCACCTGTAGCTAGCTGAGCGTCCAGCAGTCTCAGAGCTTGATCTGAAGGAATCAAGTCTTTCTTCATTGCCTGGAAGATGGAAATCATTTGTTCTGTGTAAGGATCCCTGTAGCCAGTAACTGCTCTTTCCGCAGACAACAGGCGGTCATGAATTTCAGGTCCTACCACACCTTTTCTGACAGCTTCATCTACGGTTAACAACTCATTCTTTACAGGATCAATAAAATAAATCCAGTGGCAGCTTGAGCATCAAGAAGTATATAAGCCACATCAGCAGAGATCAGCCCTTTCTTCATGGCCTGGTAGATACTGATGGTGTCTTTAGAGCCTGGCATTTGTAGACCAGCAACACATCCAGTGCCATACAGGTATCTCCAGACACTTTCAATCTGGATAGTTTCTTGAATTGTCTTTGTTCCCTGTTTAAGCATGGTATACATTTCCAGAGTGATAAGTTTAGACTCATACAAATCTTCAGCTGTAATGCGGCGACGGACAAAGTCATAAGAATACAGTTCTTGCTCTCTGATAATTTCAGTCTTCTCAATGATCTCTATGATAATGATTATCATGCGTTCCTTGGACAGTCTGCCAGCTCGGAACTCCTCCATCAACCTGTCTCTCTCTTCTCTAGGTAGAAGATCAGACTGCATGAGCTCCCAAATGGTCATCGAAGAGCCCGCCATGCTTCCGGCAGGGATGTCCACTGTTGTCTCTTCAAACACCTTCTTGGATTCTTCTTCAGTATAAACTTTGCTCGCTTCGGTTGCTGGCTTTTCTACTTTCTTCAATAGTAGGAGATTGAGCCCTGTTTCTGGATCTTTAACGCATCTTTCTTTCAGTTGTAAGTAAGTCAAATTCTCATGGGTATTGGGATCAAAGAATCCTTTGGTGTCATCTGTGGGGTCAGAAAGGATCTTGTTCATCACTTCATCAAAGTAACCGCGTTTATAGGCAACTTCAACGGGAACACGGTGACTGTGAACTGGATCAATAATGCCGCCTGTTGCAATCTGTGCTTCCAAGAGGCGAATTCCGTGGTCTTTGAGAATTAGACCTTTCTGCATTGCTTCAAACACAGAGATGGTATTTCCAGAGTAAGGATCTTTGTAGCCTGTGACGGCTTTTTCAGCAGAAAGAAGCTTTTCATGTAATTCAGGTCCAACAATGCCGGCCTTCACGGCTTCATTCACATAGAATTTTTGATTTTTTACAGGATCAACAATAAACCCGGTGGCAGCTTGTGCCTCAAGAAGGACAAGAGCTGTTCCTGGCCTTAGCAGATTCTTCTTCATAGCTTGGTAGATGTTCATTTTTAGTTTATTGTCTTCTAGGAAAACACCAGCTATACAGTCACTGCCCTGGAGATACTGCCTGACTGAGTCGATTTCTGCGATTTCTTTTACTGACTTCTTGCCTTCTTTCAGTTGCTCATACTGGGTTTTGTCAATAACCTTGGAATCCAGCAGTTCGCTGGCAGGGACTGGAGCTCTAAGACCGGTAAATGTGAGGCGCTGCTGTTTCTTGGTCTCAGTTTCTTCCACAATGGTGATCATGATTTTTATGATTTTCTCAATTGTAACTTTCCCAGTCTTATACTGACGTATAAGTTCCCTTCTTTGCTCTTCAGTAAAGTATTCAGAATGTATTAATTCCCACAAAGTGATGGTCTTTCCTTTAAAGCTACCAACAGGCACTTCAACTGTGGTCTTATCAAAGGCTTCCTTGGCTTGAGAGTCTGTGTAAACCTCTTCCAATTGGGATTGTATGGCTTGTTCAGAGAGAGGCAGCAGCAAGTGACCTGTTTTCTTGTCCACTTTGCATTTCTTCTGAAGTTGTGCATAGGACAGGTTCTCCTGACTGTTTGGATCATAAAATCCTGTGTTTTCATCGGCAGGTTCAGACAGCAGTTTAGTCGTTTCTTCATCCAGGTAACCTCGTTTATAAGCAATCTCAAGTGGAAGGCGATGACTATTTACAGGGTCAATGACGCCACCAGTGGCCAGCTGACTGCTTAGCAATCTAAGTCCGCTGTCTTTGGGTATAAGCCCCTTCTTTAATGCCTGAAATAGGGACAGAGTCTGTCCTGTGTAAGGATCCTTGTAGCCAGTGACAGCCTTTTCAGCAGAAAGCAACTTTTCGTGGTACTCTGGCCCAACAATTCCAGCTTTAACAGCTTCATCAACTGGGAACAGCTCGTTAGTAACTGGGTCAATAATGAATCCTGTACCCGCCTGAGCTTCAAGCAGGCTGAGGGCTGTAGCTGGCTTCAGTAGGTTCTTCCTGATTGCATCATACAAGGTTTGCCTCTCGCCAGTCTGTTCCACCTGCACTCCAGCTATGGCAGTGCTTCCAGTCAGGTATTTCTTTACAGACTCTACATCAGCCAGGTCCTTTACTGCTTTCTTGCCCTGGTGCAGTTGGTTAAAGAGGTCATTGTCTATGATTTTACTGTCTACAAGTTCTGCTGCTGGGACAGGATTTCTGAGACCATCAAAACACATTTGCTTCTTGGTCTCATTTTCTTCTACCACCGTAATGATAATTTTAATTATTTTCTCCACCGTGATTTTGCCAGTCTTGTACTGACGCAGCAGTTCTCGCCTCTGCTCTTCTGTGAAGTATTCTGAATTAATAATCTCCCATATGGTGACAGTTTTTCCTTGGAATTTACCAAATGGAACAGACACAGTGGCTTTCTTGAAGACATCTTTGGCCTCTGAATCTGTGTAGACAAGTTCGCTCTTTGCAGCTTTGTCTGTCAGAGGCAACAGGCAAAGTTTGGTCTCTGGGTCAACAACACATCTCTCCATGAGCTGTAGGTAGGTAAGGTTTTCTTGTGTGTTGGGGTCAAAGAAGCCTTTTGTGTCATCTGTGGGATCAGCTAAGATTTTGTTCATTTCTTCATCAAAGTAGCCTCGCTTGTAAGCTACATCCAGGGGCAGCCGATGGCTATAGACTGGATCAACAATGCCTCCAGTGGCAATCTGGGATTCCAGAAGTCGAATTCCATGGTCTTTCACTATGAGGTCCTTCTTCATGGCTTGAAAGAGAGATATTTTCTCTCCAGTGTATGGATCCTTGTACCCAGTGATTGCTCTCTCCGCAGATAACATTTTGTTGTGAACTTCAGGCCCAATGACATTCTCCTTCACTGCTTCACTTACAGTCAATCTCTTGTTCTTCACTGGATCGATAATGTAGCCAGAAGCAGCCTGAGCTTCTAGAAGAATAAGGGCAGTCCCTGGTGTGACCAGCTTCTTTTTCATGGCATTGTAGATGCTCATCTTTTCATTACTTGGTTTAAGCAAGAGGCCAGCAATGCTGCTCTTTCCCTGAAGGTATTTCTTGATGTCTTCCCGCTGGGAGAGGTCATCTACAGTCATGTGTCCACTAGAGAGTTTCTCCAGTTGTTCTTTGCTCAATATTCCAGCCTCAAACAGCTTGTTAGGAGAGACTTTCTGCCTAAATCCATCAAATCCGTTAACTACTTCTCCATTCTGAGCTGACCCATCTATAGCATCTCTGCCATTTGGCAATGCTCTGGTCTGGGTAATGACTGTCTCTTTAGTGATTAAGATCTGCTTTGTTTTCTCCAAGGCTACTCTGTGTTCCTGCTCAAGTTGTTCTAGCCTCTCCCTCAGTTTCCGGTTCTCTTCCTCCAGCAGCTTCTCCTGTTCTCGCCGCTTCTTATCCAGCTGATGGAGTTCCTCATGTTTCTGGCGAACCTTGTCCTCAGCATCCAGCTGCTTCTTGAGAGCATCATCCATACTAAGCTGCAGAAGCTTCTTCTCTTCCTCCAGCTGTGTGAGCTGCCGTTCTTTTTCTGATTTCAGCTTCTGAGCTTTGCCAACCTCCTCCTCAAAGAGCTTCTCAAGCTTGGCCTTCTCTTCCTCGATGTACTTCTCTTTCTGAATCAGGATATGCTTTTCAGAGAGGAACGTAGACTGAAGAGTTTTGGTTTCTTGAAGAAGCTGTTGCTTTTGGGCATTCGCCATCTGAAAGACACAAACGGGACATTAGGGAAATCAACAGATATTACGACCTCAGAGCAATTTACAGAATGAAGAGGTACTAACGCCCCTAGGAGTACAGTACTCCACCTATTCAATGAATAGTATTACATAGTTGCATCAAAGATGACTTCTTCCTAATGCTCCAACTTTATACAGGTCTAGAATTGGATACCTGAAGCCAGTCGTATTGAACTTTTTGATAAAAATCACCAAAATAGCTTCTGCTACAACTACCTTTAATGGCACTGCTAAACAAAGTAACAAGAAAAAGAAAAAAAAAAAAAAAAAAAAAAAAGAGGGTGGTTGAATGGGCAATGTAACATTTTAGGTGCACCAAATTACCAAAAGATTACAGGCAAGGATACTGTAATTCTAGATTGGAATCCAATGCCGGTGTATATGTCTGACGCTTATGTTCTTATATCTTGAGAAATAATTTGGCAGTTCTGTAGGCCTGCTTTTCCTAGCAACTGTTCTACGTTATACATCATATGGCCAAAAGGGTGAACACCTTACTATCACACCAATATGAACTCATTGGACATCCCATTTTAAAATTACATGATAGAGTTCAAATGTTTCTAATGAAGAATACTGTTACCAGGGGCGGACAACTCATGGGGCCCCTGGGCAATAGGGAGTCAGGGGGCCCATGTCCCTGCCCACACTCAAAGCACACGCCTATAAAAAGGTAACAGGGGCATTTCATGGGGCCCCTACTGACTGACCCCAGGCCCTCGGGAAGTGCCCAAATGCTCAAATGGTCAGTCCACCCCTGACTGTTACTACTACGGAATACAAGGACATTTTAGACAATTGTGCCTTGTAGTAACAGTTTGGTGAAAGCCCTTTTCTCTTCCAGCATGACTATTCCCGTGTGCAGAGACAACTACATAAAGACCATGTTTGAGTTTGATGTGGAGGAACTTGGAGCTCTGATCTCAACCCTACTGAAACCTTTGGAATGAATTGAAACGTTGACTGTGAGATGGGTCTTCTCATCCAACATCAGTACCCGACCTCACATATGGTCTTAAGTTGAATGGGCACAAATGACCACAGGCACACTCAACTGGGCTTTCCCAGAACAGTGAATGCGGTTATTGCCACAATGTGTTGGTGGGGGAATACTAAATATTAATGGCAATGGTCTGCAAATGTGATGTCCAACAGGTTAATATCGATGTGGTGGTCAGCAGGAGCGGACTGACCATTTGGAAATTCGGGCACTGCCCGAGGGCTCGGGGCCAGTAGGGGGCCCCATGAGATGCCCCTGGTACCTTTTTCATAGGCTTTTTTGAGTTTGGGCAAGGACACAGAGGACCCATGATCCCCTATTGCCCGGGGGCCCCATGAGTTGTCAGTCCGCCCCTGCTCAGAACAGCAGTTGGGGAAAGGAACCCTTCCAATCTGAGAGACCTGGAGCAGTTGGAGAAAGAAGAGCGCTCCAAAATTCCAGTAGAGAGGTGGAAGAAACTCATTGATGGTTCTGGAAGAGGAGAGGACTGAACTGGTCAGCAATGAGTTTCTTCCACCTCTCTACTGGAATTTTGGAGCGCTCTTCTTTCTCCAACTGCTGTCAGTCCGCCCCTGGTGGTCAGATTTCCACAAACATTTAGCCATATAGTATGGATCGTAGAGTTCTCATACAAAACAATCTTGCCAAGCTACTGAGCCTACACTACTTTGTCTACCTTGTCAATCAAGCTTCCCTGAAAGCAGGTGAATGAACATATAGGAATGTTAAAAAGTAGCTGTGGCAAGTCTGAACTTTAACTAGAGAAACCCTAAAAACGAAGGAACTTTTTCAGGCACCAATCCTGTGACTACTGATATAGTAACACTGCTAATCACATTTGTACATGTCATCAAGACATTTGCACTGAGGGAAATACGACAGCTGCTATTGCTGGTCTCCTTTCAAAAGTGCTAATTACCTGGCTGACGGTGGCTTGAATACTTTGAGTTCTTTAGAAATCACATCTCTTGATCTTCATACCAGGCCAATGATGGAAAAAGAAGGTACTGCACCTTGGTAATGAGTTCCTTTTTTTTGAAGGAGTCAGCAATGGCACCCTGACTACAGGTTTCCATTAAACGAGACCCTTTCACTTCAGTATTCAGGTCAAAGTGGCTGAACCTGTACCACACACTTATACGGACCTGTCGAATATCCCACTGTTCCTTCTGTAGCCACTGCTGCACAATACCTAGAGCTTAAAGACGGGGGAGCACATGACCTCCCTCCTATGATAAATTGCTTAGGCAATCACATGACAGAGGTGGTGACGTCCCCTCTTACAGTGTTTTTTTTGGCAGCTGCAACTGAGGAAGGAGCGGTGGGAGAGAGCAGGAGAGAAAAGCAGAACGTGGCCAGGAGGTGCGCTTTACACAGACGCCATTATTTTGCCCTGAAGTGCCAAAGTAAGGGGGTCTCCTTAAAAGATAAAAGTCATCGACATAAATAATAATGGATGAATCAAACAATAGAATAATGCTGGTCTTTACATGGTGGACCAAACAGAAAATGTGAAATAATGGGGTGATAAATTTATATTTTATGTTTGCTCACCATGCTACTAAATGAAATAAATCCATGGCAATGTGTGAGACAGAAATATCAGAAATAATACAAACTAGATACCTCCTCAGACTTCTTCTGCAGAAGCTCTGCCTCCTTCTTCAGCTTCTCCTTTTCCTTCTCCAGATCACCGATGGCCTTTCTCAGCTCTTCAGCCTCCTTGTCACTATGCTGTCTCTGTATTTCCAGAGTCTGCACCACAGTCATCTTCTCCTTGGTGGACAGTTCTGTTCGGTGCAGTCTTTCACTGATCTCTTCGGCTTGTTTCCTGAACTTTTTGGCATCTTCCTCTGCTTTGGATTGGGCTTTGCTCATTTCCACCACCTGGAGTTTCAGGCGTTCGGCTTCGGCGCTTATGTCCAGCTGTCTGCGCCGCTCGGCCTCCAGGGTCTTTTGGAAGCCCTCTGTCTCCTCGGCAAGCTGCTGCTGCATTTGCTCCTTGTCTTCTTGCAGCTTCTTGGCCTGTTCAAGGGCCAGCTCTTTCTGTTTTTGCAGCATTTCCGCTTCGGCTTTTAGGCGGGTGGCCTCCTGTACAGCTTGCATCTTCTCCTTCAGCATCTTTTCAGCCAACGCTCGTTGCTCATTTAGGTCATCCTCTGCAATCTTTCTTAAACGGGCGGCCTCTTGGGCCTCAATGCTCAGTCGAGCAGCATCTTCGGCTACCTGTTTCATCTTCTCCGCTTCCTCAGCCAGGAATTTTTGGGTGTTGTCTTTGTCTTTTAGGATGAGCATTTTGTTTTCCTCTTCTATGCGAAACTTCAATTTAATCAGCTCTTCCATCTGTATTTTAACTTTAAAGAGCTCCTCTTCCACAAGCTTCTTTTGTCTCAGAGATTCGGTCACTTCTTCTTTCAGACGCCCAAGTTCTTCATCCAAAATAGCTTTTTGGTGGTCGGTTTCTTCCAGCTGAAGTTTGACTTTGGTCAGCTCACCCTCAACCTGCTCTTTTTGCCTGACTGTTTTCTCGGCGAACTGTTTATGCTTTTCCATTTCAGCATCAGCCATTTGTTTGAGCTTCAAAGCTGCCTGTTCTGCCTGGGCCCGCTTAGCGGCTTCTAGTTCTGCTTCTTTTCGGACCTTTTCGGCATCTTCCTGAGCCTGTGTTTTGTTCTGGGCTTCAACTTCAGCCTTCTGTTTTTAAACGGTCAGCTTCCTCTGCCTGCTGACGCGACAATGCAGCCTCATGTTCGGCCTTTACTTTAGCACGTTCGGCTTCCTCAGCGGCACGCTTAGCCTTTTCGGCTTCTTCCTTTAGCTTATCTAAGACGCTCTGTTCCTGGATTCTGGTTTGCAGCATTTCTTGCTCTCTCTGTTGTACAGCAGCATAGTAAGCCTTTTCTTCCGCGTCAATTTTAAGTCTTGCAGCGTCCTGTGCTAATTGGATCTGCTTTTCGGCCTCCTTCTCGGCTAGGTCTTTCTGTTTTTTGGCTTCTTCAGCCTTGGCCTTCAGTCTCTCGACTTCTTCTAAAGCCAGTTTCCTCTGCCTTGCTGCCTCCTGTTCTGCTGCAATGATCTTCTTGACTTTGTCCTCGGCCTCTTTGCGCCTCGTCTCTTCTTCCAGGGCCAGCTGTCTCTGCTTCTCTGCCTCTTGTTCGGCTTTCTCTTTGCTTCTTTGCGTTTCATCTGCAATGTTTTTCAATTTTTGGAGCTCTAGTTCTAGGTCAGATTTACCAACAGAGGCCTTTTCAAAGTTAATTTTCAGAATGCGAATTTCTTCTTCTATCACTCTCCTGTGTTTGAGGGTTTCATCCACTATAGTCTTTTGCCTCTCCAGCTCATTCTCTGAGGACTGTTTGAGCTGCTGGATTTTCTCTTCAATGTCTTGTTTATGCTGAGCAGCTTGTTCTTCCAGCAGTTTCCTTTGGTAGGCCTCATCTTCTGCCAGCCTCCTCAGGCGTTCATTCTCTGCTTCCTTCTCCTTCAGGGCAATCTCAGCCTCTGTCTTCAGCCGTGTGGCATCGCTGATGGCAGCCAATTTTTCTTTCAAGATCCTCTCTGCTTCAGCTCTCTGTCGTGTGGCATCTTCTTCAGCCAGCTGTCTCTGCCTCTTGGCCTCTTCAGACAAAGCACGCAACCTGGCAGCTTCTTCAGCAAGTTCACGCAACTTGCTTGCTTCGCCTTCCAACATTTGCTTAGACTTTTCACTGTTGGAACGGGACTCCTCCTCTGCTTTCGATTTGGCTTGTAGAAGGATCTCCATTTCAGCACGAACCTTGGCCAGTTCTTCTTCCAGTCCTCTTCTTCTTTGGATAGCTTCATTCACTTCATTCTTAAGGCGGAAAAGATCCTCCTCGAGAACAATGCGGTGTTGTTCTCCACTTTCTACCTCCGCTTTCAGACGGATCAACTCTTGCTCGGCAGAAAGTTTATGGGAAGCTGTATCTTCAGCTAACCTTCTCTGTTTATCCAGTTCTTCTTCTGCCAGTTCCTTCTGACGCAGAGCAGACTCCTCAGCTTTCACTCTCTTGCGTGCTTCTCTCTCTGCATCTTCCTTCTGTTTCTCAGCCTCCTCCTGGGCCAAGGTTTTCTTGTGAGCTATTTCCTCAGCCTGCAGTCTTAAGCGCAGGGCCTCGTTAGCTTTCTGCCTCCATTTCTCCAGCTCCTTCTCAGCTTCTTCTCTGGCATTTTCTGCTTCCAGTTGCTGCTTTTTTAGACGTTCGGCCTCCTCTTGCAGGTGAGTGACAGTGATATGCTCTTGTTTTAAGGACATTTCCAGTTGGGTTGTCTTCTCCAAGAAGGACATGCGTTTGCTCTGCAGCTCAGCATCAGCACTCTGTTGGGCCACATCGTGAGCTTGTCTGATCTGTCGCTCCTTCTCAAGCTCTGCTTGTTTCATTCTTCTCTCAGCCTCCTCTGCCTGAAGTCTAAACCTCTCCAGATCCTCTATAGCTTTTTGTTTTTCCCTTGCTGCATCTTTTTCAGCCAGGACTTTTCGGTGAAGTTCATCTTCTGCCTCCCGTTTTTTCTGCGCCTCATCCTTCACCTGTTTTCGTAAGCGCTCAGCTTCGTCTTGAGCTAGTTTCTTCTGTCTCTCTGCCTCTTCTGCCCGAGCCCTCAAGGCCTGCAGCTCATCTTCTGCACCGGTCTTTTGCTTCTGGCTGGTTTCTAGCTGAAGGCGGATGATTCTGATCTCCTCCGTTGCCTCGACTTTTTTACGGTTGTATTCCGCCTCCTCGATCAGCTTCACCTTTGCCTTAATTTCCGATTCAGAGTTATGCTTCATTTGATGCAGCTCCTGCTGGATGTTCTTTTTCTGCTGTTCAGCATCAACAGCAACCACCTCTCTTCTGGTGACCTCTTCTTGCATGTTCATCCTCAATTCCAAGGCCTCTTTTTCTGCCAAGGCTTTTGCCTGCGCATGGGCCTCAGCCAGCTGCCTCTGCTTCTCCAGCTGGGCCTCTACTTCTGCCAGCTTCTTTCTCTCTTCTTCTTTAAGCTTCTCTGCCGCTCTCTGAAGAAGGGTGGGAGGGGAACAGAGGGAGGACGGGTGAGGGCAGGTAAGAAGGGTAAGGAGAGAGAAAGAGAGAGGTCGAGAGGGGCAATGGAGACAAAAAGAGAAAAAGAAAAAAAAAAAAGAAAAAATAAAACAGATGGAAAAAATAATTTTATGCTCTATGGTCAAAATCAAACATAAACAAAAACAATGGCTGAACACAAAGGGATGAGAGGATGTGCGTGTGGGATGACACATGTACCCGACACCTTGCAGGTGGAAAAAAAAATATAAAGTTTTAGAAAGATTCTTCAAAATACAAAAACTTTCCCACTGATCACATTCTCTATCTTTACTATCAATCCACCTGGCTGCGGTTTTTGGGTTTTCCCTTTATCCTTCCTTGACATCGGATTTTGAGAATCTTTCATTCAAGCAAGATCCAAACAGGATTATATTTAAAGGAGTTCAATAATTTCCTATTGGGCTGGAAGTGCCATGTGTCTGTCTTGTTTATCTGCTAAAAAAAAAAAGTTATTCTGATTCTACTGCAGATGTGCCTGACATTTCACACACAGAATGGGTCTTCCATAAATGTACAAATCTTGTTCTTTACCCTGATAATTGAATTCTAATGTGATTAATGATTCTGTATCATATATTGGCTATCAGAATGGCATCCTCTGTATGTTCACCATACTGGGCTGTGTATTATATATTTATTTATTTCAGGTACTTATATATATATATATATATACAATTTTTTATTTTTTTCTATTTCAGGTACTTATATATTTTTCTAAGTACCTGAAATAGAAAGAATATATTTTTCTATTTCTGGTACTTATATTTTTTTCTATTTCTGGTACTTATATACAGTACCTGAAATAGAAAAAAAATATAAGTACCTGAAAAAAAAAAAAATATATATATATATATATATATATATATATATATATATATATATATATATATATATTTTTTTTTTTTTTTTTTTCTATTTCAGTTACTTATATATTTTTCTAAGTACCTGAAATAGAAAAAATATATTTTTCTATTTCAGGTACTTATATAAAGTACCTGAAGTAGAAAAAAATATAAGTACCTGAAAATGAAAAAAAAATAATAATATAATATAATATATATTTTTCAGGTACTTAGAAAAAATATATAAGTACCTGAAATAGAAAAAAATAAAATAAAAATATATATATAATATATATTTTTCAGGTACTTATATATTTTTCTATTTCAGGTACTTATATATTTTCTAAGTACCTGAAAAATATATATTATATATATATATATTTTATTTTTTTTCTATTTCAGGTACTTAGAAAAATATATAAGTACCTGAAATATATATACACACAGATATATAAATATAAAGTACCTGAAATAAATATATAAGTACCTGAAATAGAAAAATATATATTTCAGGTACTTATATATTTATTATATATATATATATATATATATATATATATATATATATATATATATCACACACACATATATGCACATACATACATACACACACACACACATATATATGTCACCGTAGTGACACTGTACTACTTGTGGGGGGTGATCCCATAAAGGATGTAAAAGCAATCATTGCTCCTCCCCTCTGGCTGCATTCCTGCAGCCATTGAGAAATACAGTGTGAGCGGTGATTGGTCACAGCTTGTCACACGGTACAAGGCTGTTGTGAATAGCCCTGTACCATGTGATCTCTGCGATCATTCACAGATTTCACACGTAGTAAGCAATGTCAGAAGTGACATCTTGCTTACTACTGTTCATGTGATCACTGATTGGCCAATCAGTGATCACATGATCGGAACCTCACACCCGTACAGCGATTGGTGTTCCGCTGTGTCCAGAGGGCACAGCAGGCGCCGGATCGCAGTGCCGCGCGCTCCTAGGGAGCGTGCACAAGTAGGGAAGCGGGAGGCCGTTTATAAATGGCCACCCGCCCCTGCACTGCTCCCGTCCCCCCGTTTATGTACATGGGCCGGACGAGAAGTGGTTAAATCCTATACGTAATATGACAGAAGTAACAGAACAATTCTCTGTGCAGCTTTCATTAAAGTGTATATAAACCCGAGGGCTGACAACAAAGCTGGAGTTTTCAGCGCAGGCATAGTGCACAGGGATCCAGCAGCTCAATGGATTTTTGGAAGGATCGACAGATTTGATTGAACAAATTGCTTTTAATGGTATATTGAAATTACCAAAAGGGAGTAAAAGTTACTTATTTGGGTTAATATACGCTTTAATTGGAGCTGCCTGACAAACAGAGGTTCAGCAGAGGAGCTCCCACTGGCAGCCTAAAGCTGTCCATAGACTGTTCGAATCTCTGCCAGATCAGCAGGAACCGGATGATATTCGAACCATGTATGGGCAGGCTGAATGTACCCAAGTGATCGATCAACTTGTATGGACTGCAGGTAGTGTAGACTGCATAAAGCATGTCACCGTGCTTGGCTCTAAGGCTTTAGGAGCTGGCCAGTCCCTGTGCCTATGGAATTACTCTTGAACCTGAACCTGTTACTGGTGCTATTCGTTTCTCATACCTCCTCCTCTTCCAGACGTCTCAAGGTCTCCGTGATGAATTTGATGTATTGGCTGGTCAGGGTGGTGAGTTCACTGTATTTGGTCCGGAGCTCTACGTACTGTAAGAGAACACATATAGGTCAGAATTTCAGATTGGAAGGCAATGTTAGGTCCCTGGAGAAGATAATGAGGACTTATGTTGGGCAGCCATGCTGGGCTGCACAGGGCAGTATTGCACAACACAGTCCAAACACATAGAGCAGGGTTTCTCAACCAGGGTTCCATGGAAGCCTAGGGTTCCTCCAGGAGGTTGCTAAGATTTCCTTGAGCAACAAGCAACTGTTGCCTTTTAAAAAAGTTCCCACTGACACCATTGATCTTTTTAGCGATCTGTAAAGAGGTAATTATTCCCAATGGCCGCAAGTGGAAGGAGCCTTCTTCCCAATGGCCGCAAGTGGAAGGAGCCCTCTTCCCAATGGCCGCAAGTGGAAGGAGCCTCCTTCCCAATGGCCGCAAGTGGAAGGAGCCTCCTTCCCAATGGCCGCAAGTGGAAGGAGCCTCCTTCCCAATGGCCGCAAGTGGAAGGAGCCTCCTTCCCAATGGCCGCAAGTGGAAGGAGCCTCCTTCCCAATGGCCGCAAGTGGAAGGAGCCTCCTTCCCAATGGCCGCAAGTGGAAGGAGCCTCCTTCCCAATGGCCGCAAGTGGAAGGAGCCTCCTTCCCAATGGCCGCAAGTGGAAGGAGCCTCCTTCCCAATGGCCGCAAGTGGAAGGAGCCTGCTTCCCAATGGCCGCAAGTGGAAGGAGCCTTCTTCCCAATGGCCGCAAGTGGAAGGAGCCTTTTTTTCACAATGGCCGCAAGTGGAAGGAGCCTTCTTCCCAATGGCCGCAAGTGGAAGGAGCCTTCTTCCCAATGGCCGCAAGTGGAAGGAGCCTTCTTCCCAATGGCCGCAAGTGGAAGGAGCCTTCTTCCCAATGGCCGCAAGTGGAAGGAGCCTTCTTCCCAATGGCCGCAAGTGGAAGGAGCCTTCTTCCCAATGGCCGCAAGTGGAAGGAGCCTTCTTCCCAATGGCCGCAAGTGGAAGGAGCCTTCTTCCCAATGGCCGCAAGTGGAAGGAGCCTTCTTCCCAATGGCCGCAAGTGGAAGGAGCCTTCTTCCCTTCAAGTGGAAGGAGCCTTCTTCCCAATGGCCGCAAGTGGAAGGAGCCCTTCCTTCCCAATCCCAATGGCCGCAAGTGGAAGGAGCCTCCTTCCCAATGGCCGCAAGTGGAAGGAGCCTTCTTCCCAATGGCCGCAAGTGGAAGGAGCCTTCCTTCCCAATGGCCGCAAGTGGAAGGAGCCTCCTTCCCAATGGCCGCAAGTGGAAGGAGCCTCCTTCCCAATGGCCGCAAGTGGAAGGAGCCTCCTTCCCAATGGCCGCAAGTGGAAGGAGCCTCCTTCCCAATGGCCGCAAGTGGAAGGAGCCTCCTTCCCAATGGCCGCAAGTGGAAGGAGCCTCCTTCCCAATGGCCCAATGGCCTCCTTCCCAATGGCCGCAAGTGGAAGGAGCCTCCTTCCCAATGGCCGCAAGTGGAAGGAGCCTCCTTCCCAATGGCCGCAAGTGGAAGGAGCCTCCTTCCCAATGGCCGCAAGTGGAAGGAGCCTCCTTCCCAATGGCCGCAAGTGGAAGGAGCCTCCTTCCCAATGGCCGCAAGTGGAAGGAGCCTCCTTCCCAATGGCCGCAAGTGGAAGGAGCCTCCTTTCCGCAAGTGGAAAGCCTCCTTCCCAATGGCCGCAAGTGGAAGGAGCCTTCTTCCCAATGGCCGCAAGTGGAAGGAGCCCTTCTTCCCAATGGCCGCAAGTGGAAGGAGCCTTCTTCCCAATGGCCGCAAGTGGAAGGAGCCTTCTTCCCAATGGCCGCAAGTGGAAGGAGCCTTCTTCCCAATGGCCGCAAGTGGAAGGAGCCTTCTTCCCAATGGCCGCAAGTGGAAGGAGCCTTCTTCCCAATGGCCGCAAGTGGAAGGAGCCTTCTTCCCAATGGCCGCAAGTGGAAGGAGCCTTCTTCCCAATGGCCGCAAGTGGAAGGAGCCTTCTTCCCAATGGCCGCAAGTGGAAGGAGCCTTCTTCCCAATGGCCGCAAGTGGAAGGAGCCTTCTTCCCAATGGCCGCAAGTGGCCGCAAGTGGAAGGAGCCTTCTTTCCAATGGCCGCAAGTGGAAGGAGCCTTCTTTCCAATGGCCGCAAGTGGAAGGAGCCTTCTTCCCAATGGCCGCAAGTGGAAGGAGCCTTCTTCCCAATGGCTGCAAGTGGAAGGAGCCCTCTTCCCAATGGCCGCAAGTGGAAGGAGCCTTTTCGCAATGGCCGCAAGTGGAAGGAGCCTTTTCCCAATGGCCGCAAGTGGAAGGAGCCTTCTTCCCATTGGCCGCAAGTGGAAGGAGCCTTCTTACCACTGACCATCACACCAAATGTATCATGAGTTGTAGATAAAGTAATCATTAGCAGAAGTTCCCCGAGACCAAAATGTTATTTCAAGGGTTCCTCTGTGTTGAAAAGGCTGACAGACAACCCTATCTGCCTTATGTCCCATGGCTTCAGTCCACAGCAATGCGCTTCATAGGTATGCACCGACACGTTTACTAGAACACGTTGCATTTTTGCATCGCAACGTGTTGTCATGTATAGAATTCAGTAAAAGTAAAAAGGCAAGCAACGTAATGCGTTTTAATAATGCATCGCAGCACTCTTGCATAACACATACTAGCGCACCTTACAGTGATGGGAAGGAGGCTGAAAGTGAAAGCCTTTGCTCTCACAAAGAATAAGAAAGCCACACAAAGGGGTGTTGATTGAACCCAACCAATCTGGTGATAGAAGCAACACCCATGCAGACGCCACCACAAGAAACAGGTGCACTATGTGCTCTAATAGGGGCCAAAGATTTGGCACCTAACAGGACAGCTTTTGTCTAGATTTGATTTATAGCACATGGATTTATTATTATAAATTATTATTATTATTATACAGGATTTACAGCGCCAACAGTTTGGTCAGTGCGGGATTCAAAAGAGCAACAACAGTTCAATACAAGAGGGTTAGGAGGGCCCTGATCCTTAGAGCTTACAATCTAAGAGGGAGGGGCTAGTGGTAAAAAAGGTAGTAACTGTGGGGGATGGACTGGTAGGAGGAGTAGAAGATTCCATTATCAGCTGAGGGCAGGATAGGCTTCCCTGAAGAGATACGTTTTCAGAGATCGCATAAAACTGGGCAGAGTAGGCGATAGTCTGATAAATTGGGGTAAAGAGTTCCAGAGGATGGGGGAGGCTCTGGAGAAGTCCTGGGGACGAGCATGGGAGGAGCAGACAAGGGAGCTAGAGAGCAGGAGGTCGTGCGAGCGAGGAGGGGGGGAGTACGGTTTGGGTGATATTTGGAGACAAGATTGGTGATGTAATTTGGGGCGGAGTTATAAATGGGTTTATATGTTATTGTTAATGTTTTGAATTGTATCCATTGGGCAATAGGGAGCCAGTGAAGGGATTGGCAGAGAGGGGTGGAGGCTGGAGCAGGGATTGGCAGAGAGGGGTGGAGGACACCGAGTGAAGGCCAGTGGAAGGATTGGTAGAGAGGGTTGGAGGACACCGAGTGGAGACCAGTGGAGGGATTGGCAGAGAGGGGTGGAGGACACTGAGTGGAGGCCAGTGGAGGGATTGGCAGAGAGGGGTGGAGGACACTGAGTGGAGGCCAGTGGAGGGATTGGCAGAGAGGGGGTGGAGGACACTGAGTGGAGGCCAGTGGAGGGATTGGCAGAGAGGGGTGGCAGATACAGAACGGTTAGTAAGGTGGATGAGTCTGGCAGCAGCATTCATGATAGACTGAAGAGGGGATAGCCTGCAATGAGGTCGGCCAATGAGGAGGGAGTTACAATAGTCAAGGCGAGAGATAACAAGGGAGTAAATAAGTTGCTTAGTGGTTTCCGAGGTTAGGAACGGGCGTATCTTGGAGATGTTGTGGAGGTGAAGTCTACAAGATTTGGACAGTGATTGAATTTGGGGGTGAAAGGACAGATGGAAGTCTAGGATTACACCTAGTACCCTGGCATGAGGGGAGGGACTGATGATTGTGTTACTGATCTTGATGGAGAAGTCAGGGGAGGGGCACAGGCTAGAGGGAATACTAAGAGCTCAGTTTTGGAAAGATTAAGTATGAGGAAGTGGAGTGACATCCATGCCGATATGTCACTTAGTAGGTTAGTAATGAGGCTGGAGACTGAAGGGGTGAGGTGAGGAGGAGACTGAAGGGGCGAGGTGAGGAGGAGACTGAAGGGGTGAGGTGAGGAGGAGACTGAAGGGGTGAGGTGAGGAGGAGAAATATAGATTTGTGTGTCAGCAGCATAGAGATGGTACTTAAAGCCGTGGGAGTGTATCAAGTGACCAAGGGAGGAGGTGTAGATGGAGAAGAGAAGGGGTCCAAGGACAGAACCTTGAGGGACCCCTACAGAAAAAGAGAGTGGAGAGGAGGAGCCAGAATTATAGGTAACACTGAAGGAGCGCTGCGATAGGTAGGAGGATTTACATACATATATGATAGAGGAGACAACCACGAGTGATCAGATGACTGAGAACCTTTTATGAAGGAAAGGTATCCCAATGAGCTCACCTCCTGGATGATGTTATCGGATGCAGACTGCACTTTGGGCTTCTTGAGTGGAGACACGACTGGTTCTACCTGAGCTTTATAGGTGACCAACTGGAGCTCAAAGTCCTAGAAAAAAAAGAAAGAGTTGAACTGTATGTCTTCTGAGGAGGTAGAATAATCCTCTATACCATGAATCAATGAAGGTGACCCAACATTGAATGGGCTACATTGCTCTGCAGGATATATATGAAAATCTGAAAAACCTCTCTATTATCAAAAAAAAGACCTCTCTACAAAGAAACATCAGGGGGGCATTTCCGACATTGAAATCTTCTTTTACCGTGTAATCAAAACCAAACTTAAATCGCTAAATAAGGTGACCAATGACCGTTGGGGTGTATGTCTGCGTACTCAAGGTGTCTGGATTATTGCCAATTCAGCTAACATCATGTTTAACCATTTGGGAATTCTAATCTTCAAAGATATGCACTAAAAAAAAGGTCCCATTTTTAGGAAGTATCTTTTACATCCACCTCCTTCCCCCACGCTGCCACTCCCACCACTGAAATTACCAAACAGTTATCGGCTGTCAAAATGACAGCCAGGAATTGCTCTATATGACACAGCAGGAAAGGGTGTGGTGAGATAGCCCCCCTTGTGTAAAATAGACACTTGCAGATCGTCTGCCAATGTCATCGAGTAAATGCACTTATTTTTACTTTTTTCTGACCTCCGGAACGGATTAATTGATTTTCAATGCATTCCTATGGGAAACCGCGTTTTGGTTTATGAATGTTTTACAATGTGAAACGTTCCGGAGAACGCATCAAATTCGTAAACCGAGGTACGCCTGTATGTATTACTTTTTTTTTTGTAACTGTTAGTGAAAGTTGTCGCCAAGTAAACAGGCCCATAGCGGAAATATAAAGTACTGCTCTGGACCATTGGGGCTGTACAGGTATGAGAGCTGAAATCTGTAAAAAGGATAGGATGACCAATGCAGGCCATAGACGGGTCAAAAATCGGCCGTTTTTTAAAGAAGAAAAAAAAAAACTAAAAATCGGTCATTCGAACAACCGACGTTACCACCAATGGTACAAAAAAAAAAATCGTCCAATTTTCATCCCGTCTATGGCCGGCATTTAACCCCATAATTACTTCTGTCCCTTGCAGAGACAGAGGAGCAATACATAAAAAGAAGAAAAAGAGGAAGAAAAAGAGGAAGAAAAAGAGGAAGAAAAAGAGGAGGAGGAAGAAGAGGAGGGAAGAAGAGGAGGAGGAAGAAGAGGAGGAAGAAGAGGAGGAAGAAGAAGAAGGAGGAAGAGGAGGAGGAAGAAGAGGAAGAAGAGGAAGAAGAGGAGGAAGAAGAGGAGGAAGAAGAAGAAGAGGAAGAAGAGGAGGAAGAAGAGGAGGAAGAAGAGGAGGAAGAAGAGGAAGGAGGAGGAGGAAGAAGAGGAAGGAGGAGGAAGAAGAGGAAGGAGGAGGAAGAAGAGGAAGGAGGAGGAAGAAGAGGAAGGAGGAGGAAGAAGAGGAAGGAGGAGGAGAAAGAAGAGGAAGAGGGAGGAGGAAGAAGAGGAAGAGGAAGGAGGAGGAAGAAGAGGAAGAGGAAGAGGAGGAAGAAGAGGAAGAAAAATAATAAGAAGAATTCCAGTCGGCTATTATATTTTATATGAAAAGTATTGCGGTTGCAACAATGTATCCATTTCGGATACAGACGGTTTTATTTGGATACAAATAGATACATTGTTGCAACCGCAATACTTTTCATATAAAATATAATAGCCGACTGGAATTCTTCTTATTTTTCTTCTTCTTGCAGGTCACGGCTCATGCGCAGATTTTTTATTGGTAAAACGATCGGCCGATTTGCCCATCATTGCCGGGAAAATCGGCCGCGAATTTTCCAACATGCCCGATAAAAAAAAATGTGCAAAAAGCCTGAAAACGGCTGACCAATTAACCCAGTAACGGTTCGAAAATCGGATTTTTTTTCCGGCCGAAAAATCGGCTGATTTTCGACCCGTCTATGGCCGGCACAGCTGTGCTATTCGGGAATTGGATGCGTGGATTGTGATCTGATAGGCAGATACTCTCCCTAACAGGGAACAGGAGTTCAGACATCGGGAATGGAATAAAATGCAGACTCTGGATTGTGAGATGATGTTATGAAGTGTCCACATGGAATGTTTGGACTTCCTTGATCACCAAGGGCTCAGATTATATCATGGATGAGATAGAGAGGGCATTGTTTTTTAAAGTGCACCTGTCATGAGCGACAGAAATTTCCGACCTGCTTTTGAAAGTTCTATTTGCAGGCTCTTACAATAATCTCCCCAATCCAGAAGATATGAGGTACTATGATTGGTACACGAGTTACCGAAAGTCTGACAGTGACCGATGGAGGGAAAACGTGCTGCGTTACCTTGATGGCTTCGATGTATTGCTTTGCATACTTCTGGCATTCATCCACTTTTTCACGGTTTTTCTCACTTTCTTCTAGCAGTTTCTGCAGGATATAAATAATGAGTCTTATTAGTGCACAGACATATCTAGAGTTATACTGATAATAGGTTTTATTGATGCTTAGATATATCTAGAATTATACTGATATGTTTTATTAGTGCTTAGATGTATCTAGAATTATACGCATAGTATGTTTTATTGATGCTTAGATGTATCTAGAATTATACTCCTCATGGGAAGGGTCCATTCTGTACAATGTGTCTTATTAATGCCTTCATGTATCTAGAATTATACTCCTCATGGGAAGGGTCCATTCTGTACAATGTGTCTTATTAATGCCTTCATGTATCTAGAATTATACTCCTCATGGGAAGGGTCCATTCTGTACAATGTGTCTTATTAATGCCTTCATGTATCTAGAATTATACTCCTCATGGGAAGGGTCCATTCTGTACAATGTGTCTTATTAATGCCTTCATGTATCTAGAATTATACTCCTCATGGGAAGGGTCCATTCTGTACAATGTGTCTTATCACATTCTAGATCAGCAATGGGCAAACTACGGCCCGGCGGACCTTTTAATCCGGCCCGCGGAGCGCGATACTGTCAGGATGGCTGTCAGGAGACCGGTGTAGCATGAAAATCTGTCTCCTATGAGGATCTATCCCCCTCGACGTATCTGCGCATGTGCCGGAGATCGCGATCGGCTGCTAATGCCTGAAACTGGCACATGCGCAGATACGTCGAGGGGGACAGACCCTCATAGGAGACAGATTTTCATGCTACACCGGAACGGCGCGGGAACACGGCGAGAGGAACGCGCGGAGCAAAGGTAAGTGAATTGACACAGGGGGGACTTGGGGACTTAATATGGGGGATGAATTACTATATGGGGGATGAATTACTATAGGGGGGATGAATTACTATATGGGGGATGAATTACTATGAGGGATGAATTACTATATGGGGGATGAATTACTATGAGGGATGAATTACTATATGGGGGATGAATTACTATATGGGGGATGAATTACTATATGGGGGATGAATTACTATGGGGGATGAATTACTATATGGGGGATGAATTACTATATGGGGGATGAATTACTATATGGGGGATGAATTACTATGAGGGATGAATTACTATATGGGGGATGAATTACTATATGGGGGATGAATTACTATATGGGGGATTAATTACTATGCTTACTATGGGGGGAATATTACTATACTTACTATGGATGACACATACACATCATTCATCTACTCTTGGTCCGGCCCCCGGGTCCAATATATGAACCCATTGCGGCCCTCAAGTCAAAAAGTTTGCCCACCCCTGTTCTAGATGATGTAGAATTATGCTCCTCATATGAAGGGTTCATCCTGTACAATGTATCTAAGACATATTTTGGAATTATACTTCAGACACAGAGTCATGTGCAGATCATATTGTGAAGGCTCACCCTCTCCTCCAGAAGCTGCTCCTTGACAGTTTTGCTGTCGGTAATGGGCACAGACTGGATCTTCTCTTGCCTCTTCTTGGCTTCTGTTATCCAGCGGATGAGCCACTCATAGCTCTCCCTGTAGTATCTCAGTTGCTTGCCCAGCTGTTCCAGCTCTCTCTGCCGAACGTCAATCTGAAGGACGATGGCCTGCCAACGCTCCAGCAGCATCTGCACCTTCTCCCGATATCTGTCCAGATCCACATCCCGTTCGCTGTGGACCTTCAGCATCCTCTCGCTCACCTCTCTGGCCTTGCTAAGATCGTTCTCCAGTCCATTGAAGAGTGGCTGGTGACCTTCTACCTGCCCACGCATTCTCTGCAAAAGACGAAAACCATTAGGATGATGAAAGCAGAGAAAAAAAAAAGGATCATTACCTCCCACCACACAATGCAGCCACGCCATTCTAGAGATCTCCATCCACACCAGTCCTGACCTACACCAGCTCTATGCACTTTCAGGCAGTAGAATATTAAAATCGTAAAGAAAGACGGGCTCCTTATGGAGTACACAAATTAACAGCAATATATTCCTGTATTTTTTAATGTTCTTATCCTTCCTAAGAGGTTTGCTGGCTCCTCTGCAGGAATAGAACATCTAAAACCTATAATAAACACTGACTTGTCACAAACCAGTAATACAAAATAAAACATGATTTCTGCTGTGGAAGTTGAGGCTCAGGGAAAGGTGATGGTTGCTACCCTGGTGCCCCCTATAGACCATGGCTCAGATTTTGTAATCTGGTGCCCCCTGTAGACCATAGATCAGATTTTGTTACCCTGGTGCCCCCTGTAGACCATAGCTCAGATTTTGTTACCCAGGTGCTCCTTGAAGACCATAGCTCAGATTTTGTTACCCTGGTGCCTCCTACAGATTATAGCTCAGATTTTGTTACCCTGGTGCCCCTTGTAGACCATAGCTCAGATTTTGTTACCCTGGTGCCCCCTGTAGACCATAGCTCAGATTTTGTTACCCTGGTGCCCCCTGTAGACCATAGCTCAGATTTTGTTACCCAGGTGCCCCTTGTAGAACATAGCTCAGATTTTGTTACCCTGGTGCCCCCTGTAGACCATAGCTCAGATTTTGTTACCCTGGTGCCCCCTGTAGACCATAGCTCAGATTTTGTTACCCTGGTGCCCCCTGTAGACCATAGCTCAGATTTTGTTACCCTGGTGCCCCATGTAGACCATACCTCAGATTTTGTTACCCTGGTGCCCCCTGTAGACCATAGCTCAGATTTTGTTACCCAGGTGCTCCTTGAAGACCATAGCTCAGATTTTGTTACCCTGGTGCCTCCTACAGATTATAGCTCAGATTTTGTTACCCTGGTGCCTCCTACAGATTATAGCTCAGATTTTTGTTACCCTGGTGCCCTGTAGACCATAGCTCAGATTTTGTTACCCTGGTGCTCCTTGTAGACTATAGCTCAGATTTTGTTACTCTGGTGCTCCCTGTAGACCATAGCTCAGATTTTGTTACCCTGGTGCTCCTTGTAGACTATAGCTCAGATTTTGTTACCCTGGTGCCTCCTACAGACTATAGCTCAGATTTTGTTACCCTGGTGCTCCTTGTAGACAATAGCTCAGATTTTGTTACCCTGGTGCCTCCTACAGAAGATAGCTCAGACTTTGTTACCCTGGTGCCTCCTACAGACTATAGCTCAGATTTTGTTACCCTGGTGCCCCTTGTAGACCACAGCTCAGATTTTGCTACCCTGGTGCTCCTTGTAGACCACAGCTCAGATTTTGCTACCCTGGTGCTTTCTGTAGACCACAGCTCAGATTTTGTTACCCTGGTGGCTCCTTGTAGACAATAGCTCAGATTTTGTTACCCTGGTGCCTCCTACAGAAGATAGCTCAGATTTTGTTACCCTGGTGCCTCCTACAGACTATAGCTCAGATTTTGTTACCCTGGTGCTCCTTGTAGACCACAGCTCAGATTTTGCTACCCTGGTGCTCCTTGTAGACCACAGCTCAGATTTTGCTACCCTGGTGCTTTCTGTAGACCACAGCTCAGATTTTGTCCTAGGACAGTGTTTCCCATCTTCAGTCCTCTAGTGTCTCCAACAGGTCATGATTCCAGGATTTACATCACAAATTCCCAAAACAAGGCCAATTGAGAGTTTTTGAGAACTGAGATCGGGATTCACGGGAACCACTTTCTTAGGGAACCAACTCCCCCAGCATTTATACAAACTCCTATTTAGGCTCTTTATCCTCCTAGCAAGAGCTGTGGAATACTTTCTACAGGAGCTTCCAAGACAAAAGTTCAGTACCTATACCAATTTACAAGCAAGATCTATGGAGCTCACTGACACAGAAATGGTTCGCCTTGTAGAAGATGTCACACGCTAGTGCAGTGGTCGGCAAGCCGCGGCTCTTTACACACTTTAATGCGGCTCTTCTGTGTGCCGGGCGCCCGTTCCCCTCCCTCCTCTCGGGCGGCCGCCCCAAAAGTCAGGACTCTGCAGCTAGCCCAGCAATGGGCAAACTACGGCCCGGCGGACCTTTTAATCCGGCCCGCGGAGTGTGGCAAACATTGGCTGTCAGGATGTAGGCGGGGCAGCGTGACGAACTCCTCTCCTCTCACAGTCCGCCCTGAAGACTGGAACGGCGCGGGAACACGGCGAGAGGAACGCGCGGAGCAAAGGTAAGTGAATTGACACAATATGGGGAATGAATTACTATGGGGGATGAATTACTATAGGGGGGAATGAATTACTATGGGGGATGAATTACTATATGGGGGGATGAATTACTATATGGGGGATGAATTACTATGGGGGATGAATTACTATGGGGGATGAATTACTATATGGGGGATGAATTACTATATGGGGGATGAATTACTATGGGGGATGAATTACTATAGGGGGGATGAATTACTATAGGGGGGATGAATTACTATAGGGGGGATGAATTACTATAGGGGGGATGAATTACTATAGGGGGGATGAATTACTATATGGGGGATGAATTACTATAGGGAGGATTAATTACTATGGAGGATGAATTACTATAGGGGGATGAATTACTATAGGGGGATGAATTACTATAGGGGGGATGAATTACTATAGGGGGGATGAATTACTATAGGGGGGATGAATTACTATAGGGGGGATGAATTACTATAGGGGGATGAATTACTATAGGGGGGATGAATTACTATAGGGGGGATGAATTACTATATGGGGGATGAATTACTATATGGGGGATGAATTACTATATGGGGGATGAATTACTATATGGGGGGATGAATTACTATATGGGAGATGAATTACTATATGGGGGATTTATTTTCAGTTTTAAAAATGTGGCTCTCAAAATAAATTTCAATCGTAGTTTTGGCGAGATTTGGCTCAGTTGAAAAAAAAGGTTGCCCACCACTGCGCTAGTGTAATCAGAATTTTACATTCCTCTGATGAGAGGTGACTGGGAATGGGGGGGGTCTCAATCTGATTAAATACAAAAGAACTCCAGCCCTTTCATGTCCAGAAGCCTATGAGGCCTAGATCCCCATGCTGAATTTAGCAGCATCAGCAAACGTTACAATAACCCAGTGATTACATTTTAGCCCCCAGTTCACACTGGATCCAACTTTCAAATAGTGCGACTTCACTTGAAGTTACTTGATTTCAAAGTCAGATGTCAGTTTCGCCTTGATAGAAATCTGTGCGGCTTCATGCACAGATGTATATGCAAGTCGCACCCAAAATTGGCAAAAGTAGTGCAGGAACTACTGTTCAAATCAGTGTGACGCCTACAAAGTCTGAGCCGCACCGATTAGAACTGTTCCTTTGCCAATCATTGGATGCGAATGGTCATGTGATTCAAATAATCAAAATCGCATGACAATTCGCATCAGTGTGAACCAGAGCTTAAAGCGGAGCTCCACCCAAAAGGGGAAGTTCCACTTTAAGGACTGCTCCCCCGCTCCCCATTAAGGATTGGCACCTTTGAGGGCGGGGGGGGGGGGGGGGGGGGGAGCGGGTACCTGAATTTGACAGGTACCACCCAATCCATGTAGTCTTTTGGGACACGTTACAGGTCCCAGAAGACTACAGGACCATTCATGAAGCGCAGCGCTACTCGCGCATGCACAGTGGCTACCCGGTTGTGAAGCCGCAAGCTATCATAGCCGGGTGCCCACATTGAAGATGCCGGCCTCCTGGAATACAGGACGGCCAGTGAAAAGAGCTGCGGGGGACACACCACGGGACCGAGGGACAGGTAAGTGGCTGTTTTTTAAAATTCAGCAGCTACAGTTTTTGTAGCTGCGGACTTCTATTTGTTGATAGGTTGAGTGCAATTCCGCTTTAAGAACATAAGGATTTTATTTGGGAATTTGTTTTATTAAAATAACGGTTTTCATTAAAAGGCAGACAAATGCACAACAAATGTAAACAATGTTCTATTTATTAACTTTTTTAAATACTGTAATTGTTCTCTGACAATTACAGTACCAAACAGGTGCATACGGCTGTGTCATGTGCAGACTGAAGCTTCCAGCCTTCATGTGTTCCGTTTCATGGCCAATATAGTGATGACTTAATAGGGAACCACTCTGATTGCTGTCGGATCATCAGAAGGCACTTGAGCCATCAGACAGATTTTAGAGCCTTAGCATGGGCTGGTGACACTCAAGGTGGGACATTTGTCAACAGGTCCCCAACAAGGGGATGTGCTGAGAAAAGTTAACCTCCTTCTGAATGCAGCGTTCACTCGTAGATTCATCTCACAATCAGCGTTCAGTCGTAGATTCATCTCACAATCAGCGTTCACTCGTAGATTCATCTCACAATCAGCGTTCACTCGTAGATTCATCTCACAATCAGCGTTCACTCGTAGATTCATCTCACAATCAGCGTTTCAGTCGTAGATTCATCTCACAATCAGCGTTCACTCGTAGATTCATCTCACAATCAGCGTTCAGTCGTAGATTCATCTCACAATCAGCGTTCAGTCGTAGATTCATCTCACAATCAGCGTTCAGTCGTAGATTCATCTCACAATCAGCGTTCACTCGTAGATTCATCTCACAATCAGCGTTCACTCGTAGATTCATCTCTCACAATCAGCGTTCACTCGTAGATTCATCTCACAATCAGCGTTCATTCGTAGATTCATTGCACAATCCTTTAACCACCTCCCGTCCGGCCGTTGTATATAAACGGCTGGACGGTGGCAGCGCAGGGTCGGGTGGCCGTTTTAGAAACGGCCTCAGCGCTCCCTGGGAGCGCGCACCACTGCGATCCGGTGCCCGCTGTGTCCTCCGGACACAGTGGAACACCAATCGTCGTACGGGACCTCCTTTCGAGGTCCTGATCATGTGATCACTGATTGGCCAATCAGTGATCACATGCAGAGTAGTAAGCAAGATGTCACTTCTGACATCATTGCTTACTACGTGTGAAATCTGTGAATGATCACAGAGGTCACATGGTACAGGGCTATTCATAACAGCCTTGTACCATGTGACAAGCTGTGACCAATCACAACTCACACAGTATTTCTCAATGGCTGCAAGAATGCAGCCAGAGAGTAGAAATGATTGCTTTTACAGACTTTATGGGTGTAACAGCAATCAGTGTAAAAAAAAAAAAAAATCTTCATCACCCCCACAAGTAGTACAGTGTCAGCATGATGACACTGTACTGCTAGGGTGACAGTGTGTAAAAACGAAAAAAAAAAAAAAAAAAAACACAAATAAGAATATAAAAAAATAAAATAAAAATGTATAAAAAAAAAATGTTTAAAAATAATTTTTGGTTATAAACCAATTTGGGTTATTTATTTATTTATTTTTTACTAAAAAGATAACGGAATCAATTTTGGCCAAGATTCATGATGAAATATTTGCTAAATTTTATAATTTTTACTTTTTTCAAAAATTTTTGGACTTTTTCATTTACATAGCAAAAAAAAAATAAAAATCCTAGCGGTGAATAAATACCACCAAAATATAGCTTTATCGGTCTCAAAAAAAAAGCTAAGAAATTCATATGTTTACAGTGTTGCATGACTGTGCAATTGTCATTCAACGTGTCATAGCGCTGAAAGCTGAAAATTGGCCTGGACTGGAAGTGGGGGAAAGTGTCCGGACTTGAAGTGTTTAAGTTACTGCTCTGAATTCTCTCCGTGGTGGAAATAGACATTTAATGACCAGAGTAGACCCAGCCCTATACATAGCTCCATGTATCTCAATCACGGGTGCTCGTACATCCAAGGTCTTACCTTCAGGTCTGACTTGTTATTCTCCAGCTCTTTGAGGTCACCAGGAACAGCCTGGACTTCCTTCAGCTGATCTTCATACGTTTTCACAACCTCCTCAGCACCTTGGGTGTTCCTGATAACCAAGTGTATTGTCTTCAGCCTGAAAAGAGAAAGAAACCCGTTAGAACCCGCAATTGGCACAACTTGTCCTCGAGTGTTCTAATTTAACTTTTTTTTGGTTGGTGGTTTTTCTGCTTCTCCAAGTGAAATTTCCCCGACAGCTAAAAAGAATTTGAAGAAGTCTCACCATGCAAATATTCTTTTTCTCCTCTTCCTAAGGGTGTATCAGTATCTGCATGTCATTTGCATATTCTCTTTATGCTTGCACAGGTTTCCCCTGGATACTCCAGTTTCCTCCTACACTTCTAAGACATGCTGGTGGGTTAATCGGCTCCTGCCTAAATTGTCCCTAGTGTGCGCATTTATGCATGCAAGATTATTATTATTATACAGGATTTATGGCACCAACAGTTTGCTCAGCACTTTACAATATAACGGGAGACAATACAGCAACAATACAGTTCAATACAAGAGGGATAGGAGGGCCCTGATCCTGGGAGCTTACAATCTAGGAGAGAGGGGCTAGTGGTAAAAAAAGGTAGTAACTGTGGGGGATGGACTGGTAGGAAGAGTAGAATATTCCATTATTAGCTGAGGGTGGGATAGGCTTCCCTGAAGAGAGAGGTTTTCAGAGATCGCCTAAAAGTGAGCAGAGTAGGCGATAGTCTGATAAATTTGGGTAAAGCGTTCCAGAGGATGGGGGAGGCTCTGGAGAAGTCCTGGAGATGAGCATGAGAGGAGGAGACAAGGGAGCTAGAGAGTAGGAGGTCTTGCGAGGAGCGGAGAGAACGGTTTTTGTGGTATTTGGAGACAAGATCGGTGATGTAATTTGGGACGGAGTTATAAATGGCTTTATACGTTATTGTTAATGTTTTGAATTTTATCCGTTGGGCAATGGGAAGCCAGTGGAGGGATTGGCAGAGAGGGATGGAGGAGACTGAGTGGAGATCAGTGGAGGGATTGGCAGAGAGGGATGGAGGACAGTGAGTGGAGGCCGGTGGAGGGATTGGCAGAGAGGGACAGAGGACAATGAGTGGAGGCCAGTGGAGGGATTGGCAGAGAGGGGTGGAGGACACTGAGTGGAGGTCAGTGGAGGGATTGGCAGAGAGGGGTGGAGGAGACTGAGTGGAGATCAGTGGAGGGATTGGCAGAGAGGGATGGAGGAGACTGAGTAGAGATCAGTGGAGGGATTGGCAGAGAGGGGTGGAGGACAGTGAGTGGAGGCCGGTGGAGGGATTGGCAGAGAGGGACAGAGGACAATGAGTGGAGGCCAGTGGAGGGATTGGCAGAGAGGGGTGGAGGACACTGAGTGGAGGTCAGTGGAGGGATTGGCAGAGAGGGGTGGAGGACACTGAATGGAGGCCAGTGGAGGGATTGGCAGAGAGGGGTGGCAGATACAGAACGGTTAGTAAGGTGGATGAGTCTGGCAGCAGCATTCATGATAGACTGAAGAGGGGATAGCCTGCGATGAGGTCGGCCAATGAGGAGGGAGTTACAATAGTCAAGGTGAGAGATAACAAGGTGAATAAGTTGCTTAGAGATTAAAAATCGCCGTATCTTGGAGATGTTGCGGAGGTGAAGTCTACAAGATTTGGACAGTGATTGGATTTGGGGCTGGAAGGACAGATGGGAGTCCAGGATTACACCTAGTCCCCTGGCACGAGGGGAGGGACTGATGGTTGTGTGTTTGATCTTGATGGAGAAGTCGGGGGAGGGGGCACAGGCTGGAGGGAATACTAAGAGCTCAGTTTTGGAAAGATTGAGTTTGAGGAAGTGGAGTGACATCCATGCCGATATGTCACTTAGTAGGTTAGTAATGCGAGAGGAGATTGGGACCTTAGATTGACAACTCCTTGAGGGCAGGCACTGATGTGAATTTCCAGTACATCAAGCTCTGTGTAAATGGATGACGCTATATAAATGTCTGCAATAAATAGGAACCTTACACAGGCAGACCATTTACTCACTACACTATACTACTGCTACCCAATGTTTCTGGCTAGTGACCCCGATATTACATCAATTACTATCTGGAGTCTGCAGTCGGCTTGCAGCATGGTACGTACTTATCCAGGTAGAAGGTGGAAAGGCTGTAGACTTGGTTCATCTTCTGCAATGTTAGCTCAAGCTCAGATCTTAGGAGGGGAGCCGAGTCTCCGAGGTCAGGCTGGACTAGTATCTTACGGGTCTTGTCGTTCACCTTGTCCAGGTTTTTCTGGATGGTCTCCAGTTCAAAGTGAATTTGCTAAGGAGAGATAGAGACAATTAGATCGTGCAAAATACACGTATCAACTTTTTACAATTTAATAGGATTCATAATGAAAGCCGTGGAAAAAAAAAAAAAAAAAAACAGACCATTTTCCCCTGGTTCACATCTGTGCGGGTGGTGCCGCTGTGGATCCACACAAAAATCCAGCAGACACACCACCTGCACAGAGGAATGTGGACCTAATTCTAATGGCACGCTGCCGGCACTGGAAATCGCAACCGTACTGGGAACTGAGGTTCCCATGAGGGCTGCGTTTTCTGAAGAAGTGCAGGGACTTCTTCCCTGGATGTTCCAGGGCATGGGAGTCCATTCAAATAAATGGGCTCTCGTGTCCGTGCAATACGAGGCCCGCAGGAACGTGGAGATGTGAACCTAGCCTTAAACCCCATATCCAAGGGACCTGAAAGATTGAATTCTGTGAGTATATCTTGTATCACAAGGTAATGAAGAACACAAATGTGCAGGATAGGTAAGAAGATGATAGGTATTAGCTTCAAGCTATTGAGATAATAACTGAAATTTAGGTGAATAGGAAACCTCCTCCTCAGGAAACCTGTCTGCTGCCAACGTGAGGGGACATGTCCTATTAACAGCTCCCACTACTCATCCTGAACCTGTTATACTACTCCAATGACCACATGAGGTTCTCTCTGCCCTGCAAACAATCTACCACACCCTGGGATGCCCTTCCTTGCCCTAGGCCCAAAAATTAAAAGATGCCAGAGGACCACTAGATAGTAGACAGCAAGGTGGTGATGTAATGTTGCATGGCACCAACTAACAACCAGGACAAAGCTAAGGGTTGGCAGCACCGAAGAACTTGTCATGCTCCTCTCTTTTTCGTTCGGAATTCTGATGGGGACAGTGAAACCAGATCTTTGGATTTGGGATGGACCTGAGCCTCAATCAACTGCCCGGGGTATAAACACAAAGCCCATATTTGAAAGATGTCAATTCAGCTGTCCAGTTATGCAATAGCTCCATGGCTAGCCTCACCTCTCAAGTGTGTGGAATGAGGGTGGACATTACCTGCTGGTCTCCGATCCGCTGAGAGCATTCTTTGATGGGATCTTTGTCCAGGGGGCTGCGGATCTTGTTCACTGTACGGGACTCACACCCGTCCAGCTGTAATTGAATATTCTTCAGCTGTGATATGTAGTTCCTACACGTGCTCTCATCCTGTTCACCTGTATGGGCCACGGACACTTGTGTCACACACTTACATTAAACACTTTGATTCCTCAATGATAAAGACACATTGCATTCCTTTACCTTTCTCTAGACTGCGTAGGAGCATGTCGTACTTCTGGGTGCAGGAGTTGTATTCTCTCTCAATGTTCATGCGGTCATCTGGGTGGAAGTTCTGAGAGTCCTGGCTGTCTCTCAGGAAGTCCTGGTAATGGATTTCCAGGTTCCGGAGAGCCTGAGAATACTCCTCCGATGTCATGCTTCGGAACTGAAGGAAAGATAAGAATAATGGTCAGATCCAAAACTTAAAATTCAGCTTTATTAGTTGAACGAGTCTGGCTGCAGTGGGTCAGTATAGATATTTGTTACTTCAGAAACTAATAAATCAATCTCATGGTTTTCATATTGTTTCCAAGGGTATCATTTTATTATTAGCCAGAGAAGGAAAACGGAGAGAAAGCAGAGCTTGGACTAACCGTGATGAGTGTCCAGGACTGGATGAGCTGGAAGTCCCTGAGCAGATACTGGTAGGAAAGCAGACACTTCAGATCGACATGCATGGTGTGCCACAGAGTGATTAGGGCTTGATGGCTTTCCTCCAACCTAGGGGGAAAATAAACATCATGATTGAGAACATAAAGAGGACAATACACTCATCATCATGGATAACATGACTGAGGACATGACAAGGACGGCACTATGCTCATCATCATGGATAACATGACTGAGCACATGACAAGGAGGACACTACACTCATCATCATGGATAACATGACTGAGCACATGACAAGGAGGACACTACGCTCATCATGGACAACATGACTGAGGACATGACAAGGAGGACACTACACTCATTATCATGGACAACATACTGAGGACAGAACGCTCATCATCATGACCAAGACTGGGGACATAAGAGACACTACCCTCATAATCATGGAGAACATGACACTATCAGCATCATGGACAAAACAATTGAGGACATTACAAGAAAGACATCATCATGGACAATATGACTAAGAACATGACCAGGAGAATACTACACCCACCATCATGGAGAACATGATAGAGGACATGACAAGGCAGACACTATGCTTGTGATTATGGAGAACATAACAAGAATTGCCATACTCTGACCATCATGGACAAAATGACTTAGGACATTAGAAGGAAGACATCATCCTGGACAACATGACTGAGGACATAACAAGGAGGACACTACACCCATCATGGACAACAAGACTGAGGACATGACAAGGAGGACACTATGCTCATCATCATGGAAAATATGACTGAGAACATGACAAGGACGACACTACGCTCATCATCATGGACAACATGGCTGAGGACACGACAAGGAGAACACTACGCTCATCATCACGGACAACATACTGAGGACATGACACTCATTATCATGAACAAGACTGAGGACATGACAAGGAAAACACTATGCTCATGATTATGGAGAACACGGCAAGAATGGCCATACGCTCGAAATCATGGACAAAATGACTGAGGACATTACAAGGAAGACATCATCATGGACAACAGGACTGAGGGGACATGACAAGGAGGACACTACGCTCATCATGGACAAGACTGAGGACATGACAAGGAGGACACTACGCTCATCATGGACAAGACTGGGGACATGACAAGGAGGACACTACGCTAATCATGGACAAGACTGAGGACACTAGACGGAAGACACTACACTATCATGGACATGACTGAGGACACTAGACGGAAGACACTACACTATCATGAACATGACTGAGGACACGAGAAGGAGGACACTACGCTAATCATGGACAAGACTGAGGACACTAGACGGAAGACACTACACTGTCATGGACATGACTGAGGACACGAGAAGGAGGACACTACACTATCATGGACAACATGACTGAGAATATGACAAGGAGGACACTATCATGAACTGGAAAATCAGTGGGACAACACTAACAATTGCTGAAGCAACCAATGACCCATCACCATGACACAACATCACAGGACTTATATCTTACCGACTGACAGCATCCAGAGCCTCCTTGTTGGGTGGTGGAACGATGAAGCAGACAGATGGAACCAAGGCATCACTTCCTGAAGAATTCATGACTTTCCACTTGCTGGGCTGGGAGTTGTTCACCAACACACATTCATCTCCCTTATGCACAGTAATCTGTAGGACAAGACAATACAGCTATACACGACAACCAAACAGTGTCTATTACTTCAAACTAGGAAATAAAAAGTTCCCTGGGTCTGTAATCCCCCTGATAGAACAACTAGTAGTCATTTGTCACATTTTACTTGTTGGAGAGGTTTTGCTACTCAAAGCCAAGTAGCTTCCCCATTTCTCATAAATGCCACTCATTGGAGCGGAGGAAGGTACCTGGGAGTAGTGAAACCCCTCCGACATTACAGAACAAGTCCGGCTAATGACGGCTGGTTATATCATGGAGAAATGAGAACCTTCACAGACCTATCACTCTGATCACAAAGGGGCACACAACCTGGACAGTGCAACAGTTCTGCTATCTACAGTTCTTCCAGTGAAAAGTCTACAGCATCCCAAATTCAGTCCTGAACAGGGGCGGACTTGACCATTCGGGAACTTGGGCACTGCCCGAGGGCCCGGGGTCAGTAGGGGCCCCATGAGATGCCCCTGGTACCTTTCATAGGCTTTTTTGGGTGTGGTTTGAGTGTAGGTGAGGACACAGCGGCCCCATGATCCCCTATTGCCCAGGACCCCATGAGCTGACAGTCTGTCCTTGGTCCTGAACAGTTGTACCGGTTCCTCCCCTGGACTGAAATGGTGAACTCTGATTTCACTGCATACTGTGTGCTCCTCACCATGTGCATTGGAAGCTGCAGCAAGTCAGATAGAGCTCCACCTCGTTTCCTGGCTGGAGGACGTCCAGCAGCATCCAAATTTTTGCACCCCAGCCTGACTGACCTTGGTCAAACCCTATTCATTGGATTTCAGTTCTCATTCACGAAGATTCAGCTGTACATGTGGGTGTGGCCTAGGGCAGTCTGCATACGAATGCAACCTGCCTAGGAAACCCACTCCTCCAGATTGACATCTACCGATCAAAGCATTTTGATATTTGCACCAAGAACCAGCCCACTACTTGTTTCAGGACTGAGGGCTCTGAAGCAAAGCACTATGGTGTTTTCAGGAAGTTATGTACAGCACCCTGCCCAGGGGCGGACTGACAACTCATGGGGCCCCCGGGCAATAGGGGATCATGGGGCCTGTGTTGTTGCCCAAACTCAAAAAAGCCTATGAAAAATGTACCAGGGGCATCTCATGGGGCCCCCTACTGACCCCGGGCTCTTGGGCAGTGCCCGGTTTTTAAATGGTCAGTCCGCCCCTGAGGTCCCTGCCAGACCCTCCCACTAGCCATGATCTGCCTGCATTTCATAGAGAAGCACGAAGACCCAAGGATGACATCTCAGGGTTTACAATTAGGTAGGTAATAAAAACAGAAAAATGTCATTAGCATTTTTATTATGGGAGTAAGAGGGACCATGTGATGCCCCTGAAATGAAATGGAGCTCCTCTTCTGCAGAATTCGTCACGGTCAGTGTTAGAGCTCTTTATTCTCACAATTAGGACTGACACGCATGGGGAATTGCGGCCACGCTGCTGATTTTCTATGGGTTCACCAGAGATCACGCTGCCCTAACCGATTATAAAGCCGTGACTTATGAGCAGAGCGGTCCTCTATGTGGATGAAGTGCCAAATATTTCTGACCGTAGAGGATCGCAAAGGGAGCAGCGCCTATTCCTCACTCCTTCACTCACCTCCATCTGTTTGTAGTCACAGACGGCCTGGACGGGTTGTTTGCTTTGGGCGGGTTGGCCGGGCTCCGAGGTTTCAGCTGTATGACGGCCTTTGCCCTCTTGGCCAGCCCGGAGATTTGTCCCTTGTACTCTGTGAGCTGTTCTTTTTCATCCTGGTGGTGGGAAGACAAGAAGTCAGAATTTTCACATTAGTTTCTCACCCAAAAGGATATCTATGGTTATAAATTCATGTCCACATTGCATTTTAATTATTTATAGACTAATTTCCATTCATCTGAATGTTCATGAAGTTTGTAAATTTACTTTGTAAAGATCCCCACACAATTTACTTGAATTCTGTGACACGGAGTCGCTGTGTCCTGTGAGTAGGCACTGCTGTGTCACACATTTCACAGAGCCCGCCTTCTGAAATACAGGAGGTGCTGAGA